TTGCGTACGGAGCCGATGATCCACTGGTCGGGGTCGCTGCTCGTACCGCAACGATCGTGCTCACTTGATTAACCGCCACATATTTTTGTAGGACATGCAATGCAACATTGCTATGCTAGATTACATATTTCAAAACGTAGTAAATTGTAATTTGTAGGCCTGAATTCTAAAACTAAATATTCGTATTTTATTACAGAGACTATCAAAAGTCTTTTTTTTTTTCTGAAATTTGCGCCCGTCTGACGTGTCTGTTTCTCCTTCTGTTGCAGGTACTTGTGCGCGAGGGACCTTCCCCCCTGCCTGGCTTCTTCTCCAGGGATGAGGCGAGGTGGCGTCCCGTTGTCACAACTCGGGCCGCGGCGAGTGTCGCCGCGTCGTGCAAAGGATAAAAGAAAAAAAAAAGAGTCCACCCTCGAAGTGGTGTGCAAACTTTTGCGAAGTCTCATTTCATTTCTGCGGCGCGCGAAGAGGGCGGAGGAGGGCCTGACGCGGGCCGCCCCTGCCCTCGCCTTCGGTCCCTCCGTTGGGCCAAGATGGGCCCCCTGATGTGAGGCGCGGTGCGGCGTCCGGAGGGGCTTTTCTCGTTTACCCCGCTGGCATTGCGAGCAGCCCTCTCCGTGCGCCCGTCCGACCGTCTGTCCGACCGACCGTCCGTCCGTCCACCCTCCCGCCCGGCTCGCCTATCTGTCCGCCCGGCCCGTGTGTCGCCGAGCGTGACTCGCTGTAATTACACTGCGACCTCAGTCCGTCCCGCCGGAGTGCATCGCGGCGGCCCCGCGCCCCCAAACAGCCAGCGGAAGGCCCCCAATCGTGTTTGTCGGCGGCGGCGGTCACCTGGTCTGGTGCCGCCTGGTGCCACGGGGGGTAGTGTCCGCGTTTACGGGGAGCCGGCCGTTGGGCCCCAGCGGGCGTCCAACGGTGTGGTGCGGCCGTATGGTGAGGGGGCGACGCCCGCGGTGGGCCATTCGAGCGGGGCGTGGAAAGAGAGAGAGGGGTGGGTTGCAGCGGGGGAGGAT